TTGGAGTAAAGGTGGTATAACTTACCATGATTGTTCCTATGTGTAAAGATATGCAATCTTATGTTTAAAATGCTAAAATTTCAATTTACGATAATTTGCTATAAATATAATCATTAAATAAATAAGTTTTCCCATTGAAGTTTATCATTTGTGTTCCTCTAACAATTGCTTGAAATAATTGTACTTAAAGACCTCTTGAAGAAAGACAAACATGAAAACCGATGGAAAAAGTTTAGATTAATTTCGGAATTGTTAACTTACCTAAAAAACTTTAATGCTAATTTTCAGAAAAAGAATTGCTTTATAATATTTTTTGTTTTAATTTTCACTTAGAAAGATATATTTACCTTACAGATTGGAAGAAATTTAGGTGCACGAACTAAGCCGGTCATTTGGATTGAAGCTGGAATCCATGCCAGAGAATGGATCGCACCTGCAACCGCTATCTACATAATAAACATAGTATAGTTTATTCCAAATAACAAAAATAATAATAATCAAAAATTTAAACAACTCAAAATAATGAATAAGGAATTATAATAAACTAGTAAATCAATTAGTAAGGTATATTTTTTAAAGATCGGAGTTGCTAAATTAGGTATGACATATATTTTGTATGACATATTTTTTATAAACAATTTTTAATAAATTGTCAGCAATGGTATTGAAATTAGCTGTGAATTTTAGAGAAAAGAATGCTACATTAAAGAGAACAGTTGCAAAAAAAGAGTTATAACTGCACATGAGAATAGCACAGATGGACAACCAACAGAATTTAGTAATTACCAATATTGAAAAAAAATAAAAGAGAGAGAATTTATATAAATATTCATTTCTATGTAAAGCTTTTGAAGAGCTATGGATCTGATTCTGTGACTCGATTAGTGGAGGACTTTGACTGGCACATACTTCCTTCCGCAAACCCAGACGGATATGAGTACAGTCACACCACGGTATGAGTACAAAACGAATATTATTATAAATATTTCCTTCCTCAATGCAGACGGATATTAGTATTCATACCACATGTAGTTTAAATCAGTCCGAGGTTTAGTTGTGCTTATCATATATCCAATGCAGAGCAGAATTAAGTTATTGACATAGTTACTGCATTTCATAAGAAGCATAACTTCTAAAACCCTTTTCCCTGATCATTTATTTAGTACTTTCATTCCATGAAAATAAAACTAATTTTTTTTATAATATCATAGGATGTGCTCTATCTCCTACAAAATTTTCAACTTCTTTTCTATAGGAACGACTTTGGAGGAAAAATCGCAGTCGTCAGTCTTTTTGGTGTATTGGTGTTGATCAGAACAGAAATTTCAACATTTCATTTGGAGGTTCATATTTTTATCATGTCCTGCGTTTTCTGTTACTAATGGCCATGTTTGTTTGTTGTTTAACGTCCCTCTCGAGAATTTTTCACTCATATGGAGACGTCACCACTTGCCGGTGGAGGGCTACAAATTTTGACCTATACTCGGCACTCAGGGCCATTGAGCAGTGAGGGATCTTTTTTTTCGTGCCAGCACCTACTGCAATACGGGACCTCGGTTTATAAGGTCTTCTCCGAAGGACCCGTCTCCACGTGTTTCATACCAAATTTTTAGGCCTTTGTTTTTATACTAAATTTGACTACGGAATGTTCAGTCTGCCTGATCAATACATAAGCCTCAAGGTGGTTGTGACCGGTCAACAGGGGATGATTAGTCCTCCTAAGTACCTGATCCCACCTCTGAAATTTCCAGGGGTGCGTGTTTTATACCCTGTTCACAGATTTGTATTGTTTGTAGATTTTTCTGAGATCAATCGCTGTTCGTTATCATCACCATTTTCATACTGAAAATAAACAAGCTTAAGAAGTTATTTTTTATTCGCCGCATCAAGCAGTCAAAGTGTTTATATGATTATATTTACTAATGGTCGGACAAGGGTTGCATATTTTTATATTGTTATATGAGGGGAAAAATAAACCACTCAATGTGTTTGAAAAATGCAACAATTGTCAGACTACTTTGGAAGCATTTTAATAGTGTAGATTCATAATGTATATCCCTTGGTTGAAAAAGTTGAAGACTTTAGTTCTACATATTGATCAAATCTATGCGAGCTGCAGATGTCTTTAAATAATTAAGATCAAGCTTTCTCATCATGACGGAGCTCTTCATTAGGTGTAATGCCAAAATAAAATCTTCAAAATAATGCAGAACATATACCTGAAATCGCCTCGGTGATCTAGATTCAAATTTTGAAACAGGGGCAAGCACCAGCACAAATCCATGCAGTGACATTTATCCCGGGACTAGAGCTTTCTCTGAATCAGAAACTAGGAACATAAGGATGCCCTACTTTCAGAGAAGGAGCGGATCAAGCTGTTTCTTTCATTCCATGCTTACTCACAACTTCTGTTGACACCATATGGATTCACTTACACCAAACCCTCGGACAATGCAGAAATGGTAGGGTGTAGAATAATATACATACTAGTTATATTCATATTGCTAATATCATCAAATGATCAGTTGACTCTCTCTCTCTCTCTCTCTCTCTCTCTCTCTCTCTCTCTCTCTCTTAACAAAGGTTCAAAGGTTTTGGGACATTTTTAACCGCAACTTAATTTGATGTATTTAAGCAACGTCTTACCAAAATGAATGCCCATATACTTCATGTAATAATACACCTGTTATTTTTTTTTTATATTTACCATTAATCAATCTATTTGTAGATGCGCGTCGCTGAAGCTGGACTGAAATCGTTGGAAACTACTCACGGAAGGGTGTATACCGCCGGATCTCCGCCAGATATTCTGTGTAAGAATACAATTTTCTAAACGCTGTATATTGACTGGGTAATTGGAGTAATCAGCAATCAAAATTGGTATAAAACAATAGCCTAAAACTTGGTTGGAAACGTCAGTAAAAAGTCGACCTAACAATAGGTTGATTTACAAACAAGGTCATTATAAAGAGCATAGAAATTGCAAGATGCTGACTTTAAAGATAGTATTGAAAATACGGTAGCGTCAACGTATTTACCATTAGCTTGTCTCTGTTTCAAATTGATCGTTCTCGGGACGTGTTCTTGCGTACCAATGTATTTGGAAGACATAAATACCAAATGCAAATGAAATTGAAATATCACTACATTAAAAGGGGAAGATGACAATGGAGAAGCTGAATTCATCAATGACTTCTAGTTTAATGATCAATCTTACCACTAATTACTTAAATTAATTAAATGCTATTTTAATTTTTACTCCTTCTGATGCAAATAGAACTGACGCAAACTTCATTCAATCATAAAAGTACAGTTATCAGTTTCTTATTTCGACGAACAGCTATGACATAGTTTCTAAAAATATAATAATCGAATGTTTAAGCATTGACGATGGTTTTCTAGATTTAGAATATTGGAGGTAGATATTATCCAATCAAATTGAAACAGTCTGAACTCTAATTATACACTGTATGACTGTTGAATCAAACTTACTTGCAGTCTGAGACGACGAACATTATTTGATTACCCCCTTTCACGTAGCTAAAATTTTAAAAGGAAAATCGTTTAGGTCTTTATTAAATACCTTATTACTACATAAATATGTACTTTACATTTTCGTTATGACTTAAATGGATCTATATCTTTTAAATCCTCATTTATTCCTAATATTGATTATAAATTTTCTACAAGATTTAACGCGACTGTTATCATATATCACATTAAATATTTGCTGTTTTAAATCGTGCAATATATATAACCTTTCATCATTTTTCTAGACCCTGCTTCTGGTGGATCATATGATTGGGCTAAGGCTGTGGCAGGAATCAAGTACTCTTACACCTATGAAATGAGACCGGGGGTTGCTAGTTTCGGACTAGCAGGTTTTGTCCTACCAGAGTCAGAAATCAAACCAAACGCCGAGGAGGTCTGGGCATCACTGGTTACCATAGCAAGAGAGATACAATACTAAGGAAGAAACCTCTTACTGAGCATCAATAGAGACTATTTATAAATATATGTTATTGACAAGCGGATCACCCTAAAGCAATGAATTATACAAGGGATGCTTTTAGTTAAGTTAATCTAGTTATTTTATTTTATTTTATTTTTTTTTTGCGCATTGTTATTATTTTCTCGCATATATTATTGCATTATTATAGTTCTGATCAGGTAAAGAAAAAGAAATTTTAATCCGTGCGCATGTTTGCTCCAATGCACTCTCGTTTTACAAAGGTTTTCGAACAAAGATGCAAGGTCGGTAACTAAATACTAAACAATATCAAAACCTAACTAGCGAACAAATGTTTTGAAGCGCTTTTATCAATTTTGAACCATGGTTTAATTCTATTTTACGTCATCTGAATACTTGAATTGTACAAACATTTTCCTCTACCACTCGTAATTAAGCTTGGAAATCCGACTGAATAAACATTTGTTATACATTTTGAACACAAGAAGAATTTAAAAAAACGTTTAAAAATGCATCCAAAGAAAATTTATAAATGTGACTGACAAAATGTGACTGGCGATTTGGATTCAATATTCAATAATATTTAATATATTTCATTTGTGCTCTCTACTTTAAATACATAAATCATAATATGCAATAAGTCAGAAACCTCTTATTTCATCAGTTGCTTTAAATACTATTTGTACAAATTTTAATTTCACGCTTAATAAAATTTTATTTATAGTAAATTGAGTTTTACTTAAATTTTATTTTTTCATATCAAACCGCTTCATTGTTCTCTGCATTTAGATTTTTTTCATTTAAGAATATAAATAACAACTTGCATTAAGTATATTTTTTATTATTCTTTGGAAGATATTTCTCTAATTGTAGATTTGGCGATAGTCACAATAAGTACAATGTAGATGTAATTACAACCTAAAAGTAATTATAACCCAAATGTAATTATAACCCTTATATCAAGAAAAATAGAAGCTAATGCTTATTCCAAAAATTTGATCATCAGCAAAATATATTTAAAAAAGAAGGTTTTCTAAAATTATTTACCTTGTAGAAATCATATATGAATGAAACAATAGCAAGTAAGTCCTTTAGACATAGTGTACAGAGTATGAAAAGCGGGCATCTACTCATTGTTTAAGTAAGCAGGCAAATAAATTCCAAAGTGCTTATTCCTCTTGGGTTAAAATTAAGAAAGTGGGTATGATGTATACAATCAATTAACTTGAAATGTTTACATCAATGAAATTAGAATTTGGATATTTTCATATCCTGTAGTTGGATCATCTAGGTTTTTAAATTAAACTCTAAAATACTCTGAAGTTAATATTGAAAAGATACAGGTGTTCACCATTGTCACAATATAAAGTCTAACCACAATCTGTTGAAATTTCCATGATCACAAATTGTACGCTTTTAATAACTGACCTGTTTTTTGTATTCTTATGAAATAAAATTTACTTTAGAACTTCTGCATTGTAAATTCATATTCAGGGAAAGTTGACGAAGGAAAGGATCAACGGTGAATTATATTTCATCTTCTAAAAAAAGGATGTCTTTTTTTTCAATTTTGATCAGCTCATCAATGGAAATATGTCGTTTTTTCTTGATATTCTTGTCATATATTTTATTTTTGTCATATACTTTAGACATTGATCGAGAAGTCAAGCTAAAATCATCCAAATTATGACCAGTCGTCAATATTTTTATAAATCTAATATGTATATGTATTGAGTCTTATAAAGATATGTAAAATTGTAAACACAATCAGACTCAGTGAACATAAACTACAAAGAAAGCTAAATATTGCAATGTTCATGACCTGCCACTCTTCAAAAGAAATGACGGATCTTTAAAATTATTTTAAATTGTATATTCAGCAAAGCTGGTTGTTTTCAAATGACCATAGGTTTGTTTCCTTTAACTTTGTCCCTTAAATTTTTCATTCGACATGAATAGTGAGAAGTTGTCCTGTAGTTTAAATTTACCGTATATGATTTACATGATGTAATATCATGCCCTTGTGAATACTTTGGTCTGCTTGAATACTTGGGTCTGCTTCTCTGGGGAAAAGATCATAACGTTAACATTTTGCAAAGAAATGTACATTCTGCTGATGCTGAAATACTCGTATAACATATACATCACTTGTCCAAAATTGCAGATACAGACTGGAAAATAATCAAATTAATCATAGAAAAAGTTATAATTCATTCATTTGTCGTTCCTGTTATCACACTAATGTTGAACTGAGAGGAGGTATCTCTATTCTGGTCCTTCTTCCGTCGTCTCTGACAAAGTACTACTGCCAGCGATAGAGAGGATGCTAACAGAACCATGATACCTGGAAAATAATAGGTGTTTCATTTCAATTTTTTCTGTCCCAATTTACTTTATTTTAATTCTTAAAGCTAAGAGGAAAATACGTGCAAAATCTTACCCATTATGTAGTAGGAGTATGCATATGATCCTGTCATGTCAAAAATAAGTCCTACAATTATAAGATACAAGGCATCATTAGCTTAAATCATTATATTTAACTAAATGTGATGTCACATTTAAAATGCTAGAGTAACGTTAGTAATCAATAAGAGATGGGGTATAGTCAAATATACATTTGTTAATGATGAGGATACTTGTGTAATTACTATCAATTAAATATATATTGATAAAATTAAAGTACATGGGACGTAATTCAGTAAAAAAAATATATAAAGTCAGTGGACCACAATCGAAATGATTTTTAGCCATTTTTCTTTTTTTATACAGATGAAAAGCTAAAGTTTCACAGAATAAGCTTTAGTATTAAAATACCTGCAGCAGGGGGTCCAACGAGCGACCCAAGTCCTAGAAGTAAAAACCACATTCCTATAGCTTCCGATAAATGCTCTTTTCCCGCCAAAGACACACACAATGGAATCGTGAAAACGTTAAGTCCGCCACTCACAACTCCATACACCACGGAAAATATTATATAACCTGAAGTGAAGCTTGCATAAAAAGGAAAAGTCCCAATCACAGCCCCCATACACGCAGTAAGTCCAACATTTAGCAGAAGTGGGTTTTGGCCACCTGGGCCTATAGCCACACCCACCAATAGTCTTGATATTATTGTCCCAATTCCGATGATTGTAAATGATAACGAAGCTGCTTTCTGGGACAATCCATTCAGTAACACATACTTTGGCAGTTGTATCATAATCGCCGAATAAGATATGTTCCAAAGTACTGATCCAGATAGAACTAGCATAAAGAATGGCGTAGTTAGAAGCTTCTTGAATGATTGTAAAAGATGGACTTCTTTACTTCTCAAAACATCAACTTGTTTTTCTGGGGTTCGCAAAAGCAATGCAAAGAAGATCAGGTGCGATGTAATGGCCCCGGAGAGTAGGTAAGTACCATGCAATCCATATGCATTCAATAGATATTCCATGAAAGGTCCACTAACCGTCATGCCAACACCTATACTCGCTGTAAACATACCATTAGCTACTCCAGAGTGTTTCTCAAAACTTAAACCTACCGCAACAAGAGCAGGTAAAAGAGCAAGCCCAATCCCTATACCTGTAAAGAAAAAAATAATAGAGCCTAATACAATGCTTGAATCTTTCGGTGTAAAAGCGACAGTAATACATAAAGAATTTCTCTTACATCTGATGAACTAACAAATGTACCAGATATAATTCCATTCGTCAAAACTAGGATCCAAAAGGAATTGACGAAGGACGAAGAGGTAAATCCTAGAAACAGCATAATGGCTCCGATGAGGGAGGTCAATCTGCAACTCCATTTATTGATTAAATAAGATGCAAGCAGCCCTTTAAATAGATAAAAAGATAATCTCTAGTGTAGTACCTTAGATATTCTGAATAAATAATGCTCGAAGGGGATAGAGAACAGTGACAAAACGTTCAATGAACTCACCGGGAGAGCGAACTGAACCTTTGTAAACGATGTGCGAAGTGCAAATTAAACGCAACTAGAGAATACCGAAACAAAAATTAAATGCTGAACTAACGAGAATGTTGAACAAACAATGAACGCACGGTGGGAGAAATATCAATCATTTTTTTAAAGAAACAAATGAGCTTTTCAAATTCAATTGAAAAATAATTACTCATTTTCAAATCTAAAAATAAATTTCTATGCCTTTTATTATTTTTTGTCTCATACCAGGTTTGATTTCAATTTTATATTATAATTTAAAAACAAACGTAATTTAACATTTAACACCAGTCAAACGGTAAAACAAACGATGAAGCCAGTGGTAGATAGAGAGCGGGCAACTAGTCATCTTACTAACCGAATTGCTCTAGCTTGTGAACAGATAAAGCACGATAAGAAACTAGTGAACACTGAAATTAGTGAACTCTTAAAAGGAGTAGTTGAAAGATTGCCAACAAATCTGATTTCCGATGAATTTTAATAAAGTAACATAATTTTGTTTTTATATAATCCTAAATTGCGAGGCTAGACACTAATAGCATTGATTGGAAACGTGAGTGTATAAAGAGTCTCTTAGTACTGTTTAATCCATTTTAATGCAAATTAATTAGTAAATTTAATCTACCTAAGTAAACAATAAAATTGTACCGACAACACCCATTAGGTTAACAAATAAAGATCCAACCACTGATGTCGTGGCGTCGTCTTTTTTGTATTTCTCAAGTAGGTACAGATGCATCAATCCGGATCCGTAGGTAAACACTGATGTAAAAAGTTGTATTCCACATGCTGCAAACAGAACTACAAACGCCCATCCCTTGTCTTTTTCGGCTTTTATCATTGCAGAGGTAGTCTAAAAATGAGAGAACAAAACTGAAAGGAAATAAAAATTATTTGGCTTGATGAAGTCAAATGTTTCAAGTAAATGTCTATAATGTTTCAAGTAAATGTCAATAATTTTACGTTTTTTGTTTAACATTTTCTTTCAATCTAAAATCTGATACATGCTTTTTCAATGAAATTTTAAATTTAAATACGTGAACATTTGAATTCCTTCCACCTAAACCCCTGCACAAAAACAGAATGCGTTCTTTCAAGACCAAGATTTGCAGATTATCATCATGTTTCAAAAATTCATGTAAACGACTCACGATTGCGTGACCAAGAATGGCAACTGGAATTTTTGTCCAGTGAAAACAAGATAAAAATTCTTTATTCGCCAAATACTTGATAACAAAAAATAACACACAAACTTGAGAAAAACCTCCCTACTCCAAGGCTGTAGGTGGGATAAAAACGCAGAGTGACGCGCCGCTTAGCCAGAATTTTAATTGCTAAATTTTGATAAGTCAGTTTCTGCCTCTCCTAAGACATGAAACAAAATAACCATTATCATGCATCACTCTACCATATTTCAGACTTTGACATTCAAGGAGGATACTTATTGATTACAATAAAAGATATTCGAATAATCTTCAATTAATTCTCAAGATAATCAAGTTAGGAATTAAACTCATTTTAAAAGAGTTGTTTTGAAAGTTAATAGAACAAATTATGCATTTTTATTGTTGTAAATAAAATAAAATTTCCGATTGGTGTTTTCCCTTAATATTTTGATTTAGCTTCAATATCTTATGAATTTATGATATGATGATTAATGTCGAAGAACAGCGTTTTGATTCATGAAGTTTATATTTGAAAACATGTTCTTTTTTTATTGTCATTCAAGAAATTAAATTGCACATTCCAAATTTTAAAAGGTCTATTTTCGCACAATTTACACGAGACATACTACCGATTAGAGTTAAAACTGGGTGATATAAGGGATATAATCATTAGATGAGAGCTTTATGTAATTTTTATTCTTTAGATGAAGTTGATGACGAGTGTCGTTTTTGTGTATACAATCCTTCCCTAGGCAAACCTAAAAATACTGACATACAGCGTACATGTATAGACAATCTCTGATGAACAGAAAATGCTTAATAAGCAATCGGATGTAAGACACATTCACTATTCTGCGTAGTATGTGTATATAAAGTTCATTTATTTTTGTTAAAAGTGATATATAGGTCCGAAGGGCCGTGTGTTTGAACAGTTTTGAAAGCTGTATCAAATGTTTCTCAACGCATAGTTTGAAACACTTCACATAAATCATTTACCTACCTACGTACTAACTCTGTACATACATAAAACGAAAGAATTAAAAGTATCTCGCAAAGTTATGAATAAGGAGAATTAAATATAATCTGGCATGCACCTATGAATTAAGGGTATACGTATATGTGCTTCAAGAATCATTTATACCCATTTATGTATGTCTGTCTCTCACCCACAGAAAAAAAGTCATCAGAGAGTTAAATGTCATTTATTTTCCATGTAAAAATATTGCAAAACGTGCAGATGAAGGTATGAAAAATAATTCTGTTTATTTGTTGATTGACCAGTAAAAATATTACACTCCTGGAATTTCTATGAATAATGGCGGTAATAATTCCAACCCTTTGTGTACATTACGTTTCTGTGTTGACAATTTCTATTTACGCTGATTTTCTCTTACACCACTTTTTTAAGCTTTCAGAACTATTTATTTTGCTTTGTTAAGGTCTCTGTTAAAAACTGACTGCCCTTACTCTGGTTTTCAGTTTTTTGTTCTATTGGTTAAAGATTTTGCTCTTGAAAATGTATAAATTAAAGTTTTATTGATTTATGGAGTTTAAGATTAAGTAAGGTGGATTACTTTAATGCTATCAATATATTAAACTTTATAGAGAAAGAGAGAGAGAGCATTATCATCAACAGAATTTTAAGAAGTAAAAATTGTCTCAGTGACATATAGAGATCGATCTTTCCTAAAGCCACACTTGTCTCCAAAAACACATATCTCCAGAAACTGGAGTTCTCAGAAAGGAACAAAAGTTAGAAATTTAAATGACAGATTTATGCCCTCACGTAAAAAAGAAACAATACCTGGCATAAAACTAAGCATAATGATAAATTTTACCTCTTACACATTTGATATCTATATAAAAAAAAAAAGCATACTAATCTATCACAAATTTTAAAGATAAAATATGTATGCAAAAAATGTTCTTCGAGTATACCAGGTATTCAAATAAAACTACATTGAAATTTCCAGATACATGTACTTTTTTCATTTCCTTTAAAATTATCATTTACGTTTTTCTTCCATATTCTTGTTATCATTTCGACATGTAATTACATGTATTTAATAGATAAAACTGCTATTATGAATTATAAGATTCCAATTGATTTCCCTTTATCTTCAAATGTTACTAAATAACATCGATGAATACTGATAATCTTATATAGACAATTATTTCTAAAAAATACTTTTTAATCTAGAATGTTTATATTTGCTTAAATATTCCTAAGGAATTCTCATACTATTATGAATTCCTGTCACCACTTGTCAGATGTTGACTTGTAAGATATTTATGTCAGTTTGTCAGATCTTTATGTCGACTCGTCAGATAACAATCATAATGATTAGGAACTCTATCTTATTATAAAAGCATGTTAGTGTCACTAACTGCCATTTACTTTCCATCGTACTTTCTGACGAGTCGACATACATGTATCTCTCTATCAAGTATACATAACAGACATAAATATATGACAAATCGACATAATTTCTACCAAAAACACATGATTTTCTGAAATTTGACAAAAAATTCTGTAAAGTCAACATAATTATCTGACAAGTTGACATAAAGATCTGATAAACGGACATAAAAATCTGACCACTCGGAAAACTTCCTGAAAAGTAATAATATAACTGCCAAGTCGACATTATTATATGAAGTCCACTTATCAGATGATATGTCAGGTTGACACAATATTACATGTTGACTTATCAGATTTACCTGTCGACTTGTCAGATCCCTAAGTTGATTTGTCAGAAAAATATTTTGTCAATGGGATGGCACAAACTTGGCATGGACACGTTTTCATCATCAGTTTCTTAAGCAGGTGAATAATAAGGTGACAAGTCAACAGAAAGATTGGGCATTTCGACAAAATTATCTGAAAAGTCGACATAAACATCTGACAAGTGATGGCAAAAATATACCACCATACTCATTCTATAAGTTTACAGAATACGCATTCAATATGAAGTGGATGATTTACTGGTAAATTTATAATGATATGTTTTGCATGCATATTCATGGCATCAATGAAACAGTTAATTATAAAAATTTTTATAAAAAAAAATACATCTTAGGAAATGGTTGATTAAGTGGAAGGATACCTACTATGTAGAACTGGTTTATATCCTGACTGCAGGTAAGTGTGCTTGTGAAAGCTTTTTAAATTATAGTCCTCATAAATTTCTCGACATTCTGTTACGTGTTCCTGCAAGAAACACCTTTTTTTAAATCTTCGACCCATTTCACTGAAAGTTCTTGTTTTTCATTTATCGTGTCTGAATTTAACATTAATGTCCTTTTTGATGTAATTGATATAAAATACCCACACCTGTTTACTGTGGAAGCATAAAGGTCTTTACACTTGTGTTATAACTTGGACAATGTCTTATTTGTTATTATTACCTAACCTACTATATTAATTGATATTAGGCATTTTGAACTGTTTACTTATTCATTTTAATGTTTTTGCAGATCTCGAAACAGTCAACCTGTTTACCCAGTCACAGAATGAACTGTTGCATGGCTGAACTGGTCCATTATGACATCATAATTAATTTCCCTTACTTTACAGCTATAATCTTGAATAATGTATAAGTTGAAGCATTTTTATGACATTCAATTTGAAATTATCATTTGAAAAGTGATCCCGATATCAATATAAATATATATTCAATTTAAAATCATTACAAAGAAGATGCCATGAACACCTTTTCTGAGTGGAACTTGTGAAAAAATGTAAGCCCCTTTCTCTCACTATAGATCTTTTCTTCAAACGTCAGACTCAGCTTGTTATATTCAAACCTTCAAGTCATCATTATGTTGTTTACTAAACAATACATGTATACATTAATTTATTAGTGCATGATAATATCACCGTCATTAATTTTTCTGATTTTACACCAATAGGTGTGAGAATTTGATTAATATTCATCTTGTTTAGTTTGGTTTCAAGAAATAATACAAACGTTTGTTGATGTATTTTGAAAGCCATTGGTTAATATTATGCTTTTATAATTACTTTAAGAAATGATATAGTAGGTTAAGTAATAAAACACTTATTTCATGACTACGAGGGGAACAGTCAAACTGTTGTCCCGAGGTAATGGGGAAGACCTGGGAAACTGTTCCCCTCGAAGTCATAAAATAAGTGTTTATTGTATTATCAACATGTATATCTCCTTACTTATACACATATTTTGAATTGTATCTAGGTATTTGAACATAATATTATTCAAAAAAGAAACGCATAATAGGAATAACACCTTGAATAATATAAGATAGTTTTGTCATACAATTTTTTAGATTGATATAATTCGTTTGAGTAAATTGCATTATTTTTTAACACTGTTGTTAATTTGTCAGCCATTCTACAAAACTCAAGGGAAAAAAGAACTGATTTTTTCAAAATGCTAAAAATTTGTCTTTTTTCTTTTGTTGGTTTCTGATGCACAGGTACAAAAGGGCTATCAAAAGCTGAGGTTTCCAATATTTTGATTCTGGTTTTATCTGAAATTTGACGCTAATTAACATTGCTGCATCTGAATGTTGCATATCGCAAAAAGAAAATTTGGCGACTGGAGGCTGGTGTACCACATTCTACAATTGCAAGAGGTTTTAAAGTTGCACAAAGCACCGTAACTAACCTATAAAACAAAAACTAAACAACATGGTACAACAAATCATTGCCAAAGATATGACGGACCACGCGTGACATCAGCAGCACATGATTGCTTCAGTGGTTTGCGTATTTCTCAACAACGTTTTACAATTACGTACTTTACAGCATTAGCTATAATAATTCCTGAACTGCACAGAATATTAAACAAGACCGTTTGCAATTGACTACGGAATGCTGGAATTATCTACAGCACCGCAAATATCGACTTCAAAGGTCTCAGACCAACAGAGTATGGCCACAGCAACACCGCTGAACAGTTTGGTTTAGCTATATACGTACTAGTCAAAATGCTTATTGCAAAGCCTGATGTAAGAGTTAGAGTGCAAAGGCTTCGTAATTAACGTTTTGTAAAAAACACTGCCTCCGGAAGGTCGATAGATTTGGTAGTGGTCGTGTAATGATGTGGAAAACAGTATTAGATACAAGTATGGCTGATTTGGTTCATATTCAAAGAACTTTGACGGAAAACGGTACGATGTCCTTTCTACACATGCCTTTCCAATAATGCAACATCCCGGACCCATATTTCAATCTGACAATACACAGCCACTTACGGCTTGTTTGACAATTGCATTCTTACAAAGCCAGAGTACCCAGCCTGCCTTGGCCATCTAAATAACCCGGTTAAAAACCCACTGAGCATGCATTGGACAAAATTGATAGGCATGATCCGTCAAAAACACTCTCATTTCCAGATTCTGCAGCAGCTGACCAAAGCTATACTTTTCATACACTCACATTTGCGCGCACTAGGTTGCCATTTTAGGCTATCTTTGGTGTCTGTGGGGAGATATAATACATTGATCTTTTAATGAATGACCCTGATCTGTCTATGAATCTAAAGTTCTTTAGAAATTATGGCATTTAGACTGTAGACCTATTGTTTACCACATTTATACATCATTTTACTAAATAATCTTTATGTTCAATGTGTCACTAAAATTCTATATTGAAGAGTATATAAGGGACCTTCATATATTTTATGGATTTTATTACTATGTTATAAAAAATGCTTTAAAAAATATTGATTTGAAAATATTGATCAAAGTAATAATATTTAGTCATATCGATATAGTAAAGTAGATATATGACAATAAATATAGTTATATCGAAATAAAAATATATTAATATTTCCGGGGGAAAGTGACAAAATTTTGATATTGAATTAACTTTGCGAGAGCGGGAATTCTAATGAAACATCACTTCACTGGGACTCAAAGAGAGAGCAATTGTATTACGAATTTGCTATCGTATAAGATTATAATGTGGTACATAGATCATTTTTGATATTCAGAAATGTTTTGAAGAAGAGGGATGGGGAGACATAAGCAAATATATCATAGGCAGTCTAAAGATTTACTGCCCCTACCACTAATTTGAAGAGGGGGAGGGGCAATAGTATATTTGTTCTCCTCCTTCAGCTATTTTGATTTGAGTAGTAAATACATATATCCCGACAATAATGGAGAATGCTCTTAGTTGGATTATCAGATCTCTTTTTTTTTCTTTTTGTAGTCAAAAACCGATATTTTGCATGGTTGACACCACCTCCCCCTCTTTAACTTTGTGTCTAAGTTTCTGCAGATTGTTCGCAGTAAATGAGTTTATATAACCAGTGTCACTTTTATAATATTTTTACTTTCGATGCATTCACGAATAGACTTAGTACTACATGCATTTATGAATAGAACATTGAAAACAGGGGGATGGGGCACATGTCTTAATTTTTTTTTACTCATCTCAATATTACGTATATTTTGCAAGCATATAATTTATATATCAAAAAGAGGTTGATTATTTTTATTAATTCAAGAAATTGTAATGTTTTTACTAGACTTGTATTACTTGACTTCTTATTAATTAGAATAATTTTAATTGATATTTGCTTCACTGGGAACAACCTTACTGCTCAAGTTTCCCCCATCCCCTTCTTCTTCAAATCGTTTTCGAGTCTCTCTATAATCAAAAGGCAAATATTTAACACTTTTACGCATGGTACAATGCACATATGCCATCATTCAATCCAGTGAAATACCGTTTCATTAGAATTCCCGTGCACGCGAAGTAAGTCCGAGAACAATATTTCACGCTAAAGTAGCATATTTATATATACAACCCCTATGCATATAAATGTATTTTTATTGTTGCACATCTAGATTTTTCCATCGATACCTTAGAATTTCATGCTTAGATCAATATTTTCAAGTCAATATTTTTTTAAGTTACATAATAAGTCAAAATCATGTGTTTCTTTTAAGATAATTGTATCATAAAACAAAAGATTTATGTGAAATATGAATAAAGCGAAGTTTTGACAACTCAATTGCACTGTAAAGCAAGAAAAGAACTGCAAAATGAAAGTGCCGGAAAGTTGTACCTATTGCTTAGTTGTTATCGTCAATGTCAACAATGTCAAGGTCACATGTCTTTTATTTTTAGCGTGGAACTTGTAAACAACATTGAATTGGTGCAAGCAAAAGTGAGGAATAAATTCTGATCATCTTTCTTGAAGATTGTATCAAAATCCTCAGTCATCCGACATTTATATTTATGGAATTGACTCCATGGTAAATTCTTCAATTTTCTGCGCATGCGTACAATAAAGAGGAAGAAGTGAAGCAATATTTTTGTGTGGGGCAAACAAAAATTATTTTTACTTTTATTTTTCTCCGTAAAAGTAGATTATTAGGTTCTGAAACCTGTAATTTTCTGAAACCTAATATCTTCAAAAATTGAACAAAATTTGCATGTATCATGCAAAAATTCTACTTTTGTTAATTTTATTAATACTTTTTCCGTCACGGTGTCTCTTTAAGTCGATATAATCTTATGAAATAAAATCAATCAAATTAAAGAGGGTGCTTTATAATTTTAAATTATTGAAAACACCCGAATACAATGCAAAATAAGTGTATAAATAACATATTATAACACTTTATATATTGGAAAGACACCTAAAATTAAGACAAGTTATAGCACAACAAGTGTAGAAACATATACGCTTCCGTAGTTCACCCACCCTTAAATTAATATAAAGGATTAATACCATTAAATAGATGCATTTCTAGATAAATGGTCTTGTTTTATGTTAATTTAATTTGATTCCGTAAAAATGTTTCCTTTAAATAGTTAACGTATATGTGACCTTTTACATCAATGGTAGATCATCCATAAATTTCCATAATGTTACATTGCATTACATATATACTTTTTAAAAAAAAAACGTAATATCTCTGATGTGTTCATCAATGCTTTTATTATTGAATTAAAATACTTGCTGATATTTTTCCTTGTCATGGGTTTTATCTGTTCTGAATTAGTAATAAGGATTTTTTTTTCTGAAGTCAGTGTCATTCATGAATTAAGTGGATGGTTTGTGGGGTATATAATGGCCGTGTGCGCTCTGTCAATTTTAGCTGCGGTTTCTTCACAAAAATATCATAAACTTTCATAACTAGTTTTCTTTCAAGGTACTTGTGTCCAATCATCTATATATTTATCATATCTTTGTATTAATCATATTTGTAAACTCTTATGTTATTTTATACTTAAATTTAATGCAACTTAATCATAATGTGAGAAAATATAAAAATATCAAATGTTGTTAATTATGTTTTTACTTTTCAGGATTTTTTGTTAATTTTATTCTCGAATTGTGATTTGTTGAGAGTTGCAGTTTCTTTACAATAAATTCATAAACATTCTTAACTTGTTTTCTTTCAAGCCAAGACACAGAGGCTGATTTCAAGAAACCCGGATCCTAGTTCACATCCTCACTAGCATAATAAAAAATAACCACACCAATATAAATTCACTGCAACACGTGTAAGAAAAAATAACAAAAGAAAAAATAATTCTTAAAAACACCATATATACAAAAATTTCTGCTTGTCCTCTCCCCGACTACAAATGGATAGACTCAAAAGTTTTTAAACCTCCAAGAAAAGATTCTCAATAATTCCGAAATCTCGTCCCGTCAACAACTACATATTTTTGTATTTATTAGTAACTTTATTTTCAATAAATTAAAAAAGAAATAAGCATTTGTATTTTATTTTTCAAACTTTTTTTCGTACCTACCTTTTTTATCCTGAGTCGGGAGAGAGCAAGCAAACATTCATTTTAACATTGCCTAATGGCTTTATTTTCCAAAAAGAAAACTTAAGTTCAAAAAATTATAACATTTCATTTTTGTTGCAAACTTTAACTTTGTCGCTCATGATCAATTGTTCAAATGTTTTGTGTTAACATTAATAATTTTTCAAGTTTAATGAAACGGTTTAAAACCGTAAACCTTCTTTAACACTTTAATAGAGTGCTTTATTATGGTAACAAATTGTAAAATGAAACTTATCATTTTAAAATTATGAAATCTACAGAAGAATTCGTAGGTTTATCCTTCTCGAACTGCAAGTCATACGATGACAGTCTTTTTATACGAATAGTTATAAACGTTTTTAACAAAACATTGAATAGTGTGTCAAATAATGTTGTAAATGCGTAACAAAATATTCTATAAATGCTGAAATACATATTATAATCTATCTTGAGACACATCATTTTTTTTAATTTCTGACATTTCTTCATTACCTTAAATGCTATGGAAGACTACTGGTTCAGAACCAGATTTTTTTTCCTTTACTTGCAGTATTGATTGAACGTCCCAGCCTTCATTAACAAATTAAATTTATGTATTTATTGGGGACATGTGAGATATGAAAACCTACCCCTAAATCAGTGGTGCTTATAATTTATTTTCCTAAGAATGTAACGTTGATTTGTAAGTAACTGATTTGAAATATTACACATATTCACAAATAAACAACTGAATTTCCTACTAAGAAATCAATACAATAAATTAGTTTTTAAAATTTTTTAAAGTAAGTTTTCTGTGTGGTTGCATTTGTCATCATTTTCGTGATATCACCATTCTAAATGTGTTTTAAATGCATAATAAAAGTATGCTGTTATTTAATCTGTTCTAGTTACATGAATGTTCAGATTTTTCAAGCAAACAATCAGTTATAAAAGTCAACCACGAAAGACCATGTAAATGTATATAAATATAGGTTTTTTCAGTTTAACGATAAACTTACTCCCAAAGACAACTTCCATAAGAAAAATTATCTTATAATTAAACATTAGAAAGAAATTTACCTGCTAATCCATTGCATTCTTATTCATACCCTTTACCTTACTTAAATACCAGTATTTTTTAAGATAAGTTCATCCGTGTCGAAATTATAGACTATTGTGTTGTCCGACATGAAACCGAACTCTTTTTTTTAATAAAAGGAACAGACAATCATAATCGACATTGAGAAGGTTTTTTTTAACTAAATAAATTCAGCAAATGCTTATAGATGAAATCTAAAATTATGCAGAAGTATAATTTATAAATTTTCTTCCATATGTAATATCTTAAATAAAGTTTGAAGCATTTCATTAACTTAGAAGTTTCAATGACAAAAAATAAGTTACAGACAAAATAATAAAGCAATATGTAAAAGTAAATTATGCGAATGACTTCTTACAGATGAATTAGAAGAATTAGTTACCCAAAGCTTCTATCCTCCCGTCTTTCACTATAGCACAGGAGGCAAGTTAAGAA